GACTCTCAGATTCATGTTGTTCCTATGAGCAACCTTCAAGCTCTTTCTTAATACTGGTATAATTTGGGTAAATCTTCTTGAAAATTAGTGTCCAGAGTGTCAAAAAATATCCCCCAAAAGTACAGATAAAATGAAAATAATGTGCTCATTGAAGATACTTTTGCTGTGCTTCTCCATTTTCATGGCCACATCCTAACTTTTACTTTGTCATCTATTACTTTTGTCTATCTATTACTTTGTCATTCACCAATATATCAACTATAGTTTAAAGCAAAAATCCTTAGGAATATACTCATGGGTTTTCATTATTGCATTAATAAATTTGATGATACTTCTGTTGCTCACATCCTTGAGGTTATCCAGGTTTCTCTTGCTCATTCTTACTCTGCATTGGCAGGCAGCTTTCTTTTACTGGCAGATTTCATTAGCAACTTCCCAAACTTCATGTTGCAGTCAGTAATGAAAAATTAAGCTGTTGTAAGAACATAAGAAATACTTCACTGAGTCAGACCAGTCGTCCATCTAGCCCAGAGTTGTGCCCCAGTAGTGGCAGGAGGAGATAACATTTAGGGAGCCCATGTGCCTGTGGACCATAGAATCCTATAATCCTAGAATGGCCTGGGATGGAAGGAACATCAAGGATCATCTAGTTCCAACCCCCTGCCATAGGCAGGGACACCACCCACTAGATCAGGTTGCTCAGGGCGTCATCTAACCTGGTCTTGAACCCCTGCAGGGATGGGGCATCCACAACGTCTCTGGGCAAACTTTTGGTACTAAAACTAGTTCCTCAAGTGAATCTCCTTCCAGGAAGATCCCATTCCTATCCAATGCAGTGCAAGTCCTCTAATCTTTCAGTTCTTCTATACAGTTCATATTTATTTATTTTTTTTTCCAACTAATATTTCCCACGTATACTACTTTCCCACGTTTACTATCAGCTGTCAGCACTGTTTGAGTAAATGCTTTCCTATTCCAGTTTGTTTGCATGTGCTAACATACATGCCTCTAATCCCACACAGAATGTTTTAGTGTTCAAATTCCATGAGGAACTTTATAAATGAATGCCTTCCTTTTACTCACACCCCAAGGCAAATATTGTGTATTCCCCTTCCCCTTTAACTTAATAAAAGAAGACCCCTTTTCCCTAAGAGATATAGAATAGTAAAGATTATGGAATAATCTAAAGAGATATGGAATAGTAAAGTTACAAGGAGATCTGAGAGCTGCACCCTAGGAAACCACAATAGATGTCCTGTGGGCCTAGCCCATTTTTAGATGTTTAAACCAAAAACAGAACTTGGTCTCTGGTACCGCAGTCTCTCCTGAGTAATCTTTCCTGTTATAGGATCTTAATCAATTTCAGTACATAGGAAATGAACAGAGGATCTCCAATATTGTTAAAAATCACATCTAGTCCTTAGAGAGAGATGACAAAGCAGTCTAGCCTCTCTGGAGAAGATTGCCCCTTGTCACTGAGGAAATCTGTGACTGTGTGAGAGTCACAGAGATCACTGACAGTAATTAATTTGTGTGTGTGTGTGTTTGCTTCATGCTTTGCTCTAGTTTATGTGGGATTATGGCATTCTTTTCTACTTATTCACAAAGTTTTATGATTAAGATTAAATAGAAGTTTCCTATAGAAGTATAGTTTTTAAGGTTCTGCCAAGCCAGGCCAAATGCCTATGTGTCATAAACACAGCTGGTCAGCACACAGGTCAGCAGAAGGCATTCCTGTTGATCTAGCTCCAGTTCATTAATACCAGCAAATTAATCCTCCTCTTTTTTTTTTTTCTTTTTTTTTTTTTTTTCCCATCAACTTTAACATTAAGCACACTCTGAAGTAACAGCACAGCTGAAGTAACATTATGCAGCATCAGATACCTGGGTTGTTGTTGTTTTTTTGTTTGGTTGTCGTGTTCATTTTTGTTGTTGTTTGTTTGTTTGTTTGTTTAAGTCTCTGTCCAACAGGTTTGGCATAGAAACAGTTAATCAAATCAAAGTGACCATATCTAGATGACCTTTAATCTCATTCTTACTGCAGAGTAGCCCTGTGCAGTCCTCCTTTTTCTTTTATTATTTGCTTATTATGCAAATAGCTGGACACATTAGACAACATCACTCATAAAATCAATGTGATGTGATTGTTTCCAGTGCTTCATCTGGAAAGTTGCATTTGTTTAACTCACTTCTCAGATGGTTAGAAGCAATTTTAAAGTTTTTATTTCATTTTGTTTTATTTTATTTATTTTATTTATTTTATTTTATTTTATTTTATTTATTTTATTTATTTTATTTATTATTTATTTTGGTAAAATGTCAATGCCAGTTGCACATCTGCAGCAAACTGGATGTATTTTAGAATGAACTTGCTTCATGACATGTAGTTCAATATTATTCCACAATCAGCTTGTAGGGTTTCAATCTTCTGTTAATTCCAGCAGAATGGAAGAAACTTCAGTTCGGTTAAGGTTTAGTAAAATAACACTATACTTTTAATACAATGAAGTCATACATTTCAGTTTCCTGTAAAATATTCTGTGCCTCTGAAATCATGGTAATGATGTTTTTGACTCTGTCTGTGTGACACAGAGTGATGCCCAGAGAATCCTGGGCTGCATAGTTGGTTTTGTTTTAAAATTCATCACAATATTTCACTCAGTCTAGTAGTTGCCATTCATCACTATTTTTGTCTTCTTTTGAACCATTTCCTTACTGACCTCACAATTTTCCTAATTTTCTAGTATAAGTAAGAATTCTCTACATAAAATTTTATGTTATGCCTAGCCAAATGCCAAACATAAGTGCAGTTTTCCATCTCTCACTACACTAGATACTCACTTACCTCTTCAAAGGCAGCAGATTGATCTGACGTGACTGATCTCTGGTAAACCCACATAATATTTAGAGATCCCAGTTTTGATGCTCAGATTTCTGATTTATGGGGAGAAAGAGATTGCCATACATCAAATGATAGTGAGTAATCACAACACACTTAGAGCTGATGTGGGTGATATTGTGGTGGTAGTGTTGTCCCGACACTTGCAGAGACTTAGTTCTAGAAGATTACTTGATGAACAGGGAACAATTTCTCTCTCGCATTTGTCTTTGCGTATGAGATGAGATCACAGAGATTACATGGTAGATACTGGGATAAAAGATTGACATGAGCTTAAAAATATATTTAAAAGGGATTTATAGGTGAGGATTTTGCCCTGAATATCAGCCTGAAATACAATGACTCAGCATTACTTGAGAGAAGTTACGCAGCCTCCAGTGCCCCTTTGTTAGTTGATATGTTTTTCTGTAGGGACAGGTTTTAGCAGCTGAATATTTCTGAATCTTGGTCTATACCATAACTGGTATGCAACAGTTGCATGTTATTCCTAAAAATGTTGTCTTCAGTATACTCATAGAAAACACGTCTCTTTTCATTATCCTGCAGTACCTCCACATTTCAGAATTTACACCCTATAATAGCAGCACATATCTTAAAAATATATATATTTAAAATATAACATTTTCTTTAAAACTCAATGTGTGTTTTTTTCTCTGTTCTTGCACCATATGGTTTCACTCACATCAGAATATCCATCAGCTTCATACCATTATTGTTACTATTAATCTCACTTAAAATAAGAGTTAAAACTGACATTTGATTCACATATCTAACCTTCTTCTAAAGAGATAACATTTATCAGTTCATATTACAGCTAGTCACTGTATATGGCCTTCTTCAACAGAATGGCATTTTGTGGCAGTTACTATAGTTATCTTTATACAAAAGCTTTTTTTTTTTTTTTTTTTTTTCCTCCTTGTGGAGTCTTGTTTTCCCTAATTAGTCTTCATTAATTTTAAAAAGGAGATTAATGTTGTGTATGTGAGGGCTCAGCTGTGGCTGTATGAGGCAGTTAGAAAGGGGTATGGTAATTGCCTGTTCTTTCTGTCTCACTGCTGCTAAAGGGGAAAAGAAATGAAACAATAACTTCTAATATCTGATTACAGGAAGTTCTTGATGCCTACATTCGATTTTGCTGCATTGAATCTTCATTAACCCAGTATCTGTTCTCATACTCTGAGTCTGGCATAGAAAAAATTGAATATATTTCTTTATGAAGCAACTTGAGTTGTGGTTAAAATCCTTCCAGGGACAGACTGAATCTTTACTGTCTCTGCTATCATCCATTTGGATTTAGATTCCTAGAAGAACCTAGGCACAGCATTTTTCAGTTTCTATATACATTTGAAAGAGCTGAAATGCAAGTTGGGGGTATATATGTGTAGATTTAGGGTAAATTGAAAATGAACCCAAGAAGCACATCTTGTGAACTAATGGTTTTAGGACAAATGCTACAGTTCTAACTAGAATATGCAATGTTATAATCTTGATTCTCCACTCTCTTGCAACTATATATATATATTATTAAATGATGAAGTATCAGGTTAGCCTTTTGGCTTTTCACTGAATGCCTCTGCTTTATCAGTATGATTACATCTGTGTTAGATTTGCCACATGAATGTTTGTTACTGTGTGGTTTCTTCTTATGTCATAGTAGGCTTTCTATCTCTGCTGCACCCAAAATCTGAAATGCATTACAAAGAACACCCATTTTATATGGATTACCTTTCAGCTGAACCATTCTGCAGTAAAAATGACTGAATTGTAAATTGTGATACAGTCTCTCTGTTATTTAGGCCAATTTTTCTTAGGGACTTCTAATTCTCTGTACTTTTATTTTGGAAGGGGGAGGGAAGTAGGAGGTTGCACTGCAGATTCTGTTTTGCCATGGGGCTCATCACACAAAAATCAAGTGGGTGATTTCAGTACAAAGATATTTGATTATGCAACACGAAATCATGTAACAACACAATTGCTTCAAATTCATGGAATTATTTTAATTATCTCAGAGTAATGCTTGCCTTTAAAAAAATTAAAACAACAGCAACAACAACACAAACTTTTTTAATGTTCTCATGTATTATCTGATTATTTTCCCTAGGCACTCTGGAGTCCATTGTCTCTTGAAATGGCTGTGACTACAACATTAGCATCAATGAGAACTGAGATTCAGAATTTTCATAAGGCTCAGCCAAGGAATACAAAAGAGGTGGTATTGTGATTAAACTACAAAAAAGTCACAAAACGTGACAGGAAAAAGGAGCCAGTACTAGCTTCTGCAGTATTTTCTCTGATGATTTGTTAACTGAATGAGGCTAGAAATTTAGCTATCTATGCAAAGCTGAAATTTCAATGAGAAACCATAAAACTTATTTTGCTGTTTTGTTTATTTTTGATTTTCCCTGGGAAAATAATAAAAAAGAAAAGGAAATTCCAGGAGATTACCTAAACGAACTGTGATACACATCCTGTGGGGAGAGAGAATTTAGCATACAGACAGCTGTATTTCTTTAATTTCTATGGGAAATTACACTCTGATCTGACGAAATATTTTGTGGGGTGAACTTTTAACCAAAAAGGATTGTTCTTGTGAAAAGTTTTTACTATAAGGGTCATTTTTTTTCCTTAACTCACTCCATACCCAAACCCACTCCTTCAAAAAACAATGTTCAGCACCTTCACACTTTGAGTGAGATGGATATTTTTTAGAGCTCCTTGTACCATCTTCATTAAAACATGTAAATGTATACTTCTACATCAGTGGTGCTATATTCTACAGCTGAACATCCTAATGTGTTATAGACGAGATCCTTATGTACAACAATATATAGAGCTAAAACTACCAGTGATTTGTAATTGATGTTAATAACATAATGCCACAATATTTCTCAGAAAATAAGCCACCTGAAACTATCGCAACAAGCACCCACAAGCACCACCATTTATTAAGCTAACACTTCTCATTGACTACCCCATGTATAAAAATGCATATTTGAATGTCAAAAAAACATTCCATCAGTTATCAGGGATTTTCTTCCAAGTATTTGAAAGCCTGTGACATTACAAAAATGTATCATATTTTATCAACACTATTACTGTTTCTTGCAGATGACTGTGAAAAGGCCACTGTATAGCTAGCGGCTACCAAATATTGCTTTCTGTATCATAAGTCACAGTAATTCAAAATAATGATGACATTTGGCTTTGGAATAAGTTTTTCCTTTGGTGACCTGAATTTTTATTGTGTACTTGGCAGATGCTAATTTAAGAAAAGCAAAAGCGATGATCACCACTGGATTTATTTTTGCTACAGGTGAACCCTGCAATTTAGCTCTTGTCAGCACACAAATTAAAATTGTCTTATGCTATTTAGCTTGGTTAGATGACATTAATGTGATTGCTTATGCACCTTCTGTCTCATGGACTTGAAGTGCTCATTTGAGGCTCATCAGCAATGAGCTATCTTTGGTGACAGCTACTGTAAATGTACTCTGGGAAATCTGATTTAAGAAACTGGAGCTCTTCAAGGTAAAGGTTTTGTGGTGTTTCATTCCAATCCTCTGTGAATTCATCAGAATCCTATTTAAAGATCACTTTCTACAAAGTTTGTGGGCTGCCGCCTTGAAAGTGAATTCTCATCTTGCTGTAAGCAAATATGGCCTTAGGAAGAGTGGAAAAAAAAACACATGCCAGGGATTCAGCCTCTAGTGAAAAATCCCAACAGGGCAATGTTAAAGGAGCTTGTCTAAAGCACATCAGAAAGTCAGCATTTTGAACTATGAAACCCACAACATTGTCTTTTTTGTTGTTGTTGTTGGTTTTTTTTTGTTGTTGTTGTTTTGTTTTGTTTTAAAAAAAAGGCTCGATTTTGGACATTGTTAGGATTTTCTTACTGGAAGGCAGTGATCTTTACTCAAAATGTAGACATTGGCCTTTCTATTTAAGTAATTGATAATAATAATAATGTTCAGCCACCTTTTCCTTCTTCTATTTCCTTTTACTTATATTTTTATAATGGAGACTGTGGAAGGGCCAGGATATCTCTTAGTTAGTATCTGGGTGGGATGGTGGTCCCCTCCCTCTTCTGTGTGATGCTGATGTTGAATGGTGCTGAGCTCTCATTCTTTTGGTCCAAAGGTCCAAGTCAGTAAGTAAACAGATTATATTCTTTAGGAAATTCTAAAATTCTGAATAATTCTTTTTTTTTTTTTTTTTTTTTTTTGGGGGGGGGTGGGGGGACTGTTTATATTGTTATTATTATTATTATCGTTATATTATAATATTCATAATGTATTATTATCATTATTATTATTACCTTAATGAAAATATTATATTAAAATATTGAAAAGGTTGAAATTGAATCTGAGTCTGCTGTGTGGAGTTTAAAGGCCAATTTCTGGCATCCTATTGGTGTTGGGGAGCTGGGAGTCCTGGAGCCATGAGGAGCAATGAGTGTGCCTGGAGCTTTACAACCAACCTGCTTAGCCAGGGGGGTGTTCAGTCTTTTGCCACGATTAGAAGGGCTGTCTGGCTTGGTCTGGGGTTGTTGGGTACCCCAGACACCTTGTTACATTACCTTTCTTATCTCAGTGCTCCCAGGTGGATGGGATATGTGCATGAAAACAGTGGAAGTTAGTGGTTTCCAGTGCTAGAGCATGACACATGGTAAGACTGCCCTGGATCCAGCAGTGCTGAGACAGCCAGCATCTGTGAGACACACCAGCAGAAGCTGTGACAGATTTCCAGCCAAATTCTGCCTGTAGTTTAATGAGAGTTTGATGGGAAACTTTGTTTTCAACAAATTAACCTCTTCCATGCTTCTGAGAAGCATTCAGGAAATCCTCTACTAGCTCCGCCTGATCAGAAGCTCCTACAAGCTTGCTTTTGTCATCAGTTTTGCTCAAGACTCACATGATGCCTCAGAGTGTGTGTGGAGGGGAAAACACTTAGCAATAGAATAGCATCAATCTGTGAGAGAGATTTTTATGGGAAAAAAAAATCAACTTCACCTAAACGACCAAGACTGAAAAAGGTATGAGTGATTGAGCATTTGAAAGGGTAAGACTCTGTCATTTTGAAAATGCTGCCTTCTGCTTTATTCTCATCAGACCCAGATGGTGTGGCTAATGTTTTACAGTTTCTAGCCAAGTCAAGGGCTTAAACAGTAGCAAACTGACTGATAATCATGCAGAGGGATCGGCACACTGAACACTTGGCAGGTATTCCTCTGACTCTTTTGTTGGGGAATTTACCAACACGGTTTTCCCAAGAAAATCATAGTTCAGGGTGAAGTCAGGCTTTCTTTTCTTTAAGCGGTAGTAGCTCAGAAGCCAAGAGTGTCTCTTAGCTGAGATGCATACCCAAGTACGTGCTTGACCTCTTCTCTGGATGCAGTCAAAACCAGAGTGATGCTTATTTTGGATGTTCTACTGTGTTATGGCAGCAGACAGGCATGTTGCAGAGTATCTGAAAACTGTGGCTTTTTTATTTATCTACGTTACTTAAAGGATTATATATTATATTTATTTCCTCTTTCATATATAGGGAAGTTCAGACAGTAAGATACTTCATATCTTAATTTATCCTGAAGGTAGAGTTTATCACTATCACTATACATCACAAGGTCAAAAGTTGTGCACAAGATAGACTTTATCATCAAATTAATTAATCCGTAGATCTGGGACACATAGTACCCACACATACTTTCTAAATGCAGGGGTAGGATCCAGGTTTATGACACTAAGTATTCAAAACTGCCTGTCCATCCTGCACAATGTGCTCTAGGTGATCTGCTTGGCAGGGAGGTTGGACTAGATGATCTTCAGGGGTCCCTTCCAACCTCAGCCATTCTGGGACTCCTGCAAGGCTGGGGACATTTCCCATACATTGTGGAGTTTGTTAGCTTGGCTCTAACTTAATGCCAATGTTATGCTTTTGTGAAAACTATGGGACAAAGGCAATCCTTAGTCTGATTTTTTTTTTTATAAGGTTTATAACTAAGTTTGCAGTTCTTTGCCACCATCTAATGCAGAGCATATTTGTCTTTCCAAATGAGTTGGGTAGTAAAAAAATCCTGTATCAATAACCATAGAAAATTGATTTTAGTTTATGTAGCAAGAAAACCAGGCTAATTTAACTTAGCCCATCCAGCCCATAAACAATGTTTTGGACATTTAATGTTTCTCTAGTGAGAAATCCCTGATAAGAAACCTTACACCTTTTATTCTATTAAACAATCATTTTCTACGTGGTTAACTTCACATTAGCTGCTTCAGTACATCTGCACAAAGAGGTTTCCAAACAATCATGACTCTTTAAATGGGTGTGTGCAATGAAAACATCATGTAACTTGTAACCAGAGCAATTTAGAATGTTTTCTTTACTTTTTTTTTTTTTTTTTTTTTTTTTTTTAATAGGGTACTGCTAAAATCATACTACCCTGCAATTAATAAACAACTTTCTTAAAAATTAACTTTAGCAAATGGCAGCCAACATGAAAAAAATAAAGCTTAAACACATTCATAGACTAATTTAAGGTCAGAAATACAAGCCGGGGAAGTGACTATATGAACATATATTAAAAAGTCATAAATAACACCTTTGATTTAGTTTGTTTTATATTTGTGCTCAAATGTTATTAAAAACTGTTTAAAATAATAGTAATAATAAAACTGAAATGCTCTTTGCCTCTGGTTGCACACATTATAGCAGAAACAAAAAAATATTTTTTCTTAAAAATCAAGTTGAGTGCAAATCAATGGCTCGTCTTGGAAATACTGCAAAAATTCCCTACTACCACAACTTTTAGTATTAGTATTAGTATTAGTATTAGTATTAGTGTTAGTGTTAGTGTTAGTGTTAGTGTTAGTGTTAGTGTTAGTATTAGTATTTTAGGGGAAGCTGTGTTTCGAGAGACTTTAAAAAATGTTAAGGTTGCAGTGAGTGTTAAAGACTGACCTTTATTGGCACTGACTCTTCTCAGTCAATCAAATTGAGAAACACGGAGTTTGTTCATTCCCCAGAGGCTTGCACTCTGCTGAGAGCCCAGCAGATACATTTTGTTAGAGGAAGACGCTGGTGTCTGACCACAGGATGGGGGCAGCAAGGTTACTGCACATCACATATGCCATTCCTTTTTGTGTTAGCCCAATGGGAAAATGGACAATAGCCATAAAGATGTATATGTTTACAAAATGTATTTCAAATAAGGTTGAGCAGACAGCAGCAACCCTGCCTAAGATTTGTGGAGTCTGAAGCACGTGCAATTCTGAAACAAAGGGGCACTCTGCAAAATCTGTAATTCCTAAAGAATACAGATTTGTCTGATAGGTGGTTTGTCATCACCAGTCAAGA